TAACCACAGGAGTTCGGGGAGAACAATTGAATGAACCAAAACCCTCTGCAATTACAGGCTGTACAAGGTCAGCCTGTGCGCGAACTTCGAATTTCGATCCCTTATTAACCTAGCAAAAGAAATTATTCATGTATATACGTATTATGACAGTCCGACCGTCGATTTCGACGATGTCCACCGTGTGCCCCACAGCTGCAGCAGCGGTGGGAGCAGGGACGGTGACTTGCGCAGGGGTTTATAGTGCGGGTAGACTTGCGCTGCATCTACCTTCACTCTCTCCTCCTCCCCCGCCTGGGCCCGGTGTCAAGACAGAGTCAAGAAGACCGGAGACGAGGGAGGCCGCAGGTGGATGGCTCGGACGGATCCTCACCTTGGCGTTCCACCACACCCCCTGGTCCACACAAAAAATAACCAGGATTTCAACCAACACAACAGAGATATGGAGGTTGGCACGGTCGAAGTCGCACCCAGGCGTGCCGCCAACGCCTGGCTCGGATCCCACACTGTGGTGAGAGTGCCATAAAGGCCACATTAAAAAGGAGCCATTGCAGTCTGACTCTCAGACCGCCTCAAGTGAAGGAGGAGGTCCAAGGTACCCCGTCAGTTGGCAACCTTTCAAGCCACGGCTTTTAGCGCACCGTGATAGCTTCAAGCGCGTCACATTGTTTATAGTGAGGAGAAAGTGCGCTGAGTCGTCGACCTCACTCTCCCTTCCCACTCCCACACCCCAGCCGCTGTCCGAGCCGGTCAGTAGACTGGAGTAGGGAATGGGCGCGGTGGCTGACATGGTCGACTGACCATGCCTGCGCGCGCCACAGCACGACCTGGCCACCCACACACACAAACACCAGAATTTCACACAACGGGGGTTGAACGGCGTGTCTCTCACTTGCGTGAGAGTGCCGTGGAAGGTGCTGTTGCAGCCCGTCCCCAGCCCACCAGTCCGCCACTCCACACAACACACACACACACACAACGCGACGTACTGCGTGAACCGAGAGCGGGCCTCAATCAGCAACCTTCCTATCCACGACACTTGACGTGTCGGGATAGTCTCGGACACAAGTCACCCGTGCAGCCGAAGCCGCATGGGGACCGAGTCGATATGCACACTTCCCACTTGCGTGGGAGGCGGCAGTTGAGTGCATGAGGTGTGTGAGGGTTGATGTCTGGTGGGGTGATGGTGTTAGGAGGTAGGGAGTGGGGAATGTGTGGTGTGACCGGCGGTTGTCTACCGCAGGTCGTCGTGGATGCGCATGTGGCCGAATAGACCCATGCGATGCGTGAAGGTGCGAGGGCAGTGTGGGCAGTGAAGGCGAGTGCGGTTGGTGTAGGTTGGTGCTCCAGGCACTGGTTCGCCAGCCTCTGTGCGATGGATTCGCAAGTGACCAACCAGGCCGATGCGTGAGGTGAAGGTGCGTGGACAATGTGGGCATGAGAGGTTGGCGGTGTCGGTGTCAGCTGTAGAGGAAGCAGTGGTGTTGGTGGTGGTGGCGGTGGTGGTGGTGGTCGGCACGTATGACGGTGGAGCGAGGATGGGTCTGGGCGTGGTGGATGTGTTGGATGTCGTGCCTGTATCGGAATTGTGGTCAATTCCGCTCTCGTGGATGCGCATGTGGCCGAATAGACCCATGCGATGAGTGAAGGTGCGAGGGCAGTGTGGGCAGTGGAGGCGAGTGCGGTGAGTGTAGGTTGGTGCTCCAGGCACTGGTTCGCCAGCCTCTGTGCGATGGATTCGCAAGTGACCGACCAGGCCGATGCGTGAAGTGAAGGTGCGATCGCAGTGAGGGCAGATGTAGCCCTGGCCCTCACGTCGGATGATGGAGGTTGCAGGGGTTGTGCCTGTTGTTGTGTCAGGTTCGGCTGTGGTGAAGTCGTGGGCGACAGACGCCGAAGCGGCCGTCGTTGTGGCAGTGATGGAGGAAGAGGAGGAGGGTGGGGAGGAGTGAGGGATGGTAAGGTCGGTGGCATAGATGTCGGCTGGGGAGTGGTTAGTGGGTGCACAAGGCGGTGGGTTGGGAGTGGGGCTCGGCGGGGTGGGTGTGTCAAGGCTGCGGTCAATTCCGCTCTCGTGGATGCGCATGTGGCCGAATAGACCCATGCGATGAGTGAAGGTGCGAGGGCAGTGTGGGCAGTGGAGGCGAGTGCGGTGAGTGTAGGTTGGTGCTCCAGGCACTGGTTCGCCAGTCTCTGTGCGATGGATTCGCAAGTGACCGACCAGGCCGATGTGTGAAGTGAAGGTGCGGTCACAGTGAGGGCAGGTGTAGTCCTGATCCTCATCACTGGAATCGGGAGGGGTGGGGGTGGTTGCGATTGTTGTGTCGTGGTTGGCGATGTGTGAGACGGCAGGCTGAAGGGCCACCGCTGGGGCAGTGGAGGAGAAGGAGGAGGATGGAAGTGGTGGTGCAGAAGGAGTGTCAGAGTTAGTTGGCGGAAGAGAGGACGAGGAAGAGGCGGGCGGGGGGACGATGGCTGGAGCAGTTCGAGAGATGCAGTTGGTTCGGAGATGTCCAACAAGTCCGATTCGTGCCCGGAATGTCCGTTGACATCGAGGACACATAGGGGGAGGTTATGCGGCGGCGTTGCGGACTGGGCGAAGTTGTGATTTGCGGGCTTCGCGTTTCGCTTTGCCGGCAGCGATTCGGTTGGCTTCATAGATAGCAGCGCCCGTCTTCACTGTTCTCCTCCATGTCGGACGATCGCGAGCGAGCTCTTCCCAGTTGGTCGGGTTGATTTGCAGGCACTTCAGGGAGGACTTCAGAGTATCCTTGTAACGGCGAATTTGGCCTCCTTGACGACGAGAACCCGTCGCGACGTCTCCGTCGAAGAGTCGTTTGGGTAGTCGCTCTTCGTTCATGCGCACCAGGTGGCCGCTCCAGCGCAGCTGCATTTGTTTCAGTATGGCCTAGATACTGGGGATTCCCGTTCGTTCCAGTACTTCCGTGTCGGGGATTCGATCCTGCCAGTTCAGTCTCAGGATGGGGCGGAGACAACTGAGGTGGAAGTGGTTCAGTCGGCGTGCCTGTCTCGTGTACACCGTCCAGGTCTCTGCTCCGTACAGTAACGTCCGCAGGATGACGGCCCCTTTAAGCGTATTATATTGACAGTGAGTACGGCTTTTGTGTCCGCAAAAGTTTCGGCGCATTCCGACCAAAGCAATTTGAAGTTATACTTGACTGCAGTCTCTAAAGAGCATGCGACTGGATAATTTTAAAAGA